GCTCACGGTGGTCAGGCACGCCAAGAATCTGAGGGCAATTAAGGACCTCCTGCTGGAGGCTATGAAGATGCGGGAGCACGAAGGGCAGCGCGGCAGCCAGCGCCTCGAAGGCGTCTGCGTCGAGATGCTGTCTCGTGGCCACCGACGCAGCCCCGCCCGGGCGAGCGCCCACGGCGAAGGAAGATGGAGCAGCTCGCCCAGGCGCCCGAGAGCAGCGCGCCCGCGCAGGTTGGCCACAGAGCACGGTGGCTCGCGCCCCGCCGCGAAGAGACACGGGCAGGAACGCAGCCGTCCTCCGGGCGGGCCGGCCTCCCTCGCCCCGCTCGCTCCTCTGCGCCCAAAGCGCCGGCACGGAGAGCTTCCGTCCAGCGAGCCTCCTCGAGCGGGCCTGAATCCCCGCCGCAGAGGAGGCTTCTGAGGCAGAACAAGCCCCAGGCGGTATGCTTGCAGACCTGCAGGACGGGGAGGGTCGCGGGAGGCGCAGCGCGAACCGTCTTCGGGGGGGAAGGTTGTTTTTTTCACATTTGCTTTGTTTGCAGATAGAAAAAAATTCAAAGAAAAAGAAAAGAGAAAAAAGCAAAACACGATACACATATTATCTACACAAAAAGCACATATATAACTAATGTATATGTACACGAACGAACACGCAACACACACACAACCACTCCCACACCACAGGTATCAGCGGCTGGAGGGGGGAGACGTACGTTCGGCACATATATAATAATATAATATATAGATAAATATAAATATAATATATATATATTATATATATATATATATATATATATATATATCTTTTTTTTTTTTTTCTTTTTTTTTTTTTTTTTTTTCTTTTTTTTTTTTTTTTTTTTTTTTTTTTTTTTATCGAAATGTATCAACTTTACAACCATGCGAAACTTTTTCACCCGGAAAATAAAACAAGAACTTGAAAAAAGTAATACAAACTTCTTTCTGCTTTTTTATGGAGAAAGAAAACGACGAAAGGCCACGATTTCAATATATCTTACCGACATCCATTTCTTCAAGGAATTAGTGACCGAGACGAAATAGATAAGGAGTGGAAATGAAGACAGACTTGAGATAAATGTTCAAGAAGCGTAAATGGCTTGCAAATAGAGAGTCGGTTGCGACAACACCAAGTGGATTCATCATTATTTTCTTTCTTTGATTGTCTGTCTGTGTGTTCTGTGTGTCTTCTGTCTCTCTCTATCCTATCTTAGTAACGTCTTCACTTCCGTTCTCTTCTCCTTTTATCTCTTCTCTTCTCTATTATTTATCTCATGTACTCACATCACTTGTCTCTTCGCTCTCTCTATTCTCTCTCTCACTCTCTCCTCTATCTATCTATCTCCTCACTTCTGTCTCTCTCTCATCTCTCTATCTCCTCTCTCTCTCTCATCGTCTCTCCTCCTCTCTCTCTTCCTGGTATCATCGCTGTCACCATCTTCTCTCTCGCTTTCCTCTCTATCTGTCTATCTGTCTGTCTGTGTCTCTCTCTCGCTCTCTTCTCGTCTCTCGTCTGCTTCCTCTCTCGCTCTCTTCTCGTCTCTCTCTCTCTCCCAATCTCTCTCTCGGTCGTCTCTGCCCTCACCTCTCTCTCTTCTCATTCTCTGTTCTCTCCTTCCCGTGCCTCCCTCGTCTCTCTCCCCGAGTGTCCTCTTTCAACGCAAATGGAGCGCGGCCTAAGTATTCGCGGAGCTCAGCACAGCCATGTAAAAGGTTCTGTTGACTTAGTTTTGTGTGCGTTTGCTTGGCGTAACCGGCTTCTCTCCTCTCTCTCGTCTCAGTCATCTCCCCGTGTCGTGCTGCACGGCGCCGCTGTCTCGAGGACTTACACGCGAAAAGGCCACGTTCTCTCTTAGCTGGGCGCTCTGTTAGCTGGTCTNCCACTGCTGAGGTATTCAGTAAGGTTCTGCAGAGATGGCCATTTTCTCCCTTGCTTTGAAGTTATCCTTTGCATATAAATAGATAACAATGACTAAAAAGGAAAAAAAAAACATCAAAGCTAAGTATCATATGTGATTCGTTATATTTTTAAAGCTGTGATTTACTCCCTCTCTTTTTTGCATTACTTTATTTTTCTCTCTCTCTCTCTGTCTGTTACTCACTCTCACTCTCTCTCTCTCTCTCTCTGTCTGTTACACTCACTCACTCACTCACTCTCTCTCTCTCTCTCTCTCTCTCTCTCTCTCTTCTCTCTCTCTCTCTCTCTCTCTCTCTCTCTCTCTCTCTCTCTCTCTGTCTCTCCTCTCTCTCTTGCTTCTCTCTATATTTTTCTTCATTTTCTTTCTTATTCTTATGAATCGCATTCGAAAATCTCTAATGAATAAAAAAAAAAATTGTAATTATGACAAATTTGCATCCAAAACTACAAAAGAAACTAAGAGAGATCCGGAAAATGCTTGTTTATGAAAAAATGAAATGAAACCGGATATGTTTTCACTCGTATATAGAAATGCATGTAGGGAACTTGCCGGTGGCGACATACATATCTCGTTTTAAATGGATAAATCAATTCCTTTCAGCGATGTAATTTAATATATGCTGATCAAACAGATTCTCTGCTGTATGCACACACATGCGCGAGCGAACAAATATATGCATACAGATATTGCACTCTCTCTTTCTTTCTTTTCTTCTTTCTTTCTT